CTACGTACACAAAACGGTTAGGGGAACCGAAAACAAATGTGTAACATGCGTGTATATATATATAAAGAAAGAAAGGAATTTTATATTATATAGTGACTGACTTTTAACCACCGTATGATAGGCACAGAAACATTTTAATTATAAAACAAAGGATTTTTAATATAAGTGTGTGTGGGTAGGATTTCACTGTAAATATAGAGCACTGCAACATATTGGTGGAGGCATCACTGTACATAGAAATTGCGGATCACAAGTTCTACATACTAGCGTATGGTTCCTCTACAAAGGGGGTTAAAGATACAGAGGTAAGGTAAGGATTGTCGCCCTTGAATTCTAGTCCGTTACGTCATATGGAAGGAGGCGCAGAACTGATGTGTGGCTTTCCCACTGTCTAATTTTCGTTAAGCAGGAACCTGCCATTCGGGGAAAGAAAGGGAGGGGGGGGGGGGGTCCACCGTTCACTTCTCTCCGGCACCCACATTGCTGGAGCCATGACCCATACTTTCAAAGCATGGAGATCTTAACTTGTAACACAGGGCACACAAACTTGCTCAAAAGAAAGCCTTGCAAGACGTCATAATTATTTGGACTACCCCCCCCCCCCCCCTCTTTCCAACTTCTACTCCCACCATTTAATCAGTGTGAAGTCCATACTATATTATTTTCTGCTTAGTGGTTTTGGTATTAATCAACTTTGAATTTAAAAGGGCGGTAAAGGGTTAATTTTATGCAATGTTTTCTATTTACCCAGTGTTTATATTTTATTTCACTTGTTTTCGTGTTTTGACGTTTGACCTCTCAATACATGTATCTCTTGTTTGGTTCGATGTGCGTGCTACAAGTTTCCCCTTATTTATTTCCATGTTTCCTGTCGTACAATTTGTTTCTCATGCTTGTCAAAAAGTTTTGCAATTCTATTGAATATTTATGGTTCAAAAATTGTATCATTGTATGTGATAAAGAACTTCAAATTTAAACGTACTATAAATAATAATTTTTTGAAATCGGATGCCACTTAAGCTTTTAAGGAAGTTAAAAGGTGACAGCAACATGATTACATCTTTATGTCCATTAAAAATTACTGCAGAAGGCTGAGTATCTGGGTAATTATTTGGAAATATCCTGGACAGTATGTCTTTCTCTGGAAAAACCCTGTGCACCTTGAATAAATTATCTTAATATCTGTGAACCAGTTTTTTTCAAATCATTACCAAGTCAGAAATATAGATATAACCAATTGCAAGTTTATGTACTTAAATTGCTGGCTAAATAGAACAATTTTAAACATTTTTAATACATAGTCAAAATAATATTATAATTTCTTGAAAGGTTTTGTTAATGATTAACTGGGACGCCTTCCTCATGTTCCTATGACCGTCATTATAAGGAAGGAATCGCAGCAAACAATTGAAGAAGCTTTTCAGGACACAATAATATTGTACTAATTAATATGTAGTTTGCTCATCAAGACTGCCCACTTTGACATAATCTTTTTATATATATGTATGACTCTAAAGTGCGATGGTCATGCTAAGGTGCAATGATCTACGCTAAAGTGCGATGGTGTAACGGGAATAGGATTAAGGCGATGGTTTTTGTTTTTTGCTGTGTTCATATTAGTTTTTCGTTTATTGTATTGTTTCTAAATCATGTCGTTGTTATTCTCTTTTGAATTGTTTTACACAAGTCATTTTGTGATTCTGTATAGCTTTCTGTGTGATGTAAGCCAAGGCTCCACATTGAAGGTCATAACGTTATTAGGTGCATACATCAAGGATATTTGGTCTTTGGTGGATATTTATTCGTTGACAATTACACCACATCTTCTTATCTGTTTTTTTGTTTATTGTTTATTTTGTATATTAATCAGTCCGTTATCTTTCTCGTTTGAATTGTTATACACTGGTCGTTTAGATACTCTGGTCGTTAAAAATACTAGCCATAAGGTATTCTAAAGTTAATTACATTAATGACATTAGCATTGGATAGCGACTTGTCGCATTGGCAATCATATTATGATACTGCACCTCTGGTCGTTATGTTACTGTCTTGTTGACGAGTATCCATCTCTTTTACAGACATGACGAACCATATTTTAAAAAATTGTTTTTACAAAATTATTCAATTAGAAAGTTAAAAAGTAGCTTTTATTTCACGCAAGTAAAAAATTGAAAACAAAACGTTTAATAATTTCATGCGTCCGAAGTGCTTTTCTGGATTTACCTTCATCAGGAACACTCAAAGCCAAACATTTGAAATCCAAGGATGTATAAGTACCGAAACAGTTGAAGAGCTATATGCTTTTCCAGTAAATGACATGGGACGAATTAAATACTTTGACACTTGGTGTATTTTGCCATTTTTGCTCTCTTTTATGGTATACACCTTCCCTTTACTAACGTCAGTTTCAGTCTATGTTAATGAAAAGTAATTTTTTTCCAGTATACTGACAGAATCATGTTTGTCCCCGCCGACACAGCGTTTGTTTGTACAAACGGCTTGTTGCGTCATAATGCGATTTTACGTTGCAAACGTCAATACTTTCGCTAACAAACGCACTTTAGCATATCGCGGCATCAGACTGTAGCGTGTTCCATTAAATAGCACAGACTATCGCACTTTAGCATATCAAACCATCTCACTTAAGCGTGACCATCGCGTTTCAGTGTCCCCATCTCACTTTAGAGACCTACATATATATATATAAGTAAAACAGTATTTAAATTGAATAGAACACTGCATGCATCATCGTTCTAAAAATAGAGTATTACATAAAATATCTGAACTGTATCCCTGTTGGCAGGAATTAAATCCATTACTCGAAGATATATCCCCGGTAAACAGAAGGGACCCATTTATAAAATTTTCTTTGGGAGAGCACTTAAGTCAGAGAGGCAGTAAAAAGCAGACTACACGAAATTCGTCAGACCGTCGGACAAATCCGGTGAATAATGGATCGGTCTGGTAAAATTTTGTTGAATTCCGGTCCGAATGTCCGGTGTTGTTTTTTTCATGGATTTTTCTAGCATTCTAGCAAATCCCAAACGATCTCAAAATTCATTTTCATCTTTATTATTCATGACAGTTATGTTTATTTTGTTCAACCGCAAGCTTTATGCCGAAAATCGCCAACAAGTACATGTAATGTGTAAATCCGGGAAAAAACATATCTGACAAAAACAACAATGGCTGCCATCAACCGGAAATGTAGACAATACCGGATCAGATTCCGGGAACGGATAAGGCTAATTCCGGGTTTGCCGATCAAATACATTGAATAAATAAAAAAAAATCCAAGCAGGTAACAAAATACAGCTATGAGTATGAAATATAAACACTAGAATTGAAAACCAAAAGATATATGAAAAAGAAAGAAGAAACAGGAAATATTTTATACAGAAACTCTAAATTATTTTTAGTTCACAAATAATTTTCATGTCAAAATCCAATAAAATGTGACATTACTTTTCTTTGTCACTGAAATGCATTCAAGCAATTGTGCACAACTTTCATCAAAATATACACTCTTGTCACACGATTTTGTTTTTGTGCATTTTGGAGAGGAGTAGGGCACAACAAGTCATAAGTTTGTTGTATTTTGTCGGATAATATACAATTAGATGTAAAAAAAATTGGTCTGGTAAAATTTCATTCGGTTTGGTAAAGCTAGGTTGTTTACCAGACCGAATGTCCTGTAAAAATAAAATTCATTCGTGTAGTCTGAAAAAGCCCCATTTGTAATAAAGTCGTTTATTCTGTGACAACAGACCAGTTTGTGGAATCACTAAAGTACGCAAATCACATAATCAATTTATAAAAGGAAAAGGCCACAGCTCTGTAGGAACCCAAAGATTAAGGGGGTCTCATATTTCTTATTGCTCTCAAAGTAAGTCTACCACCAACTGCTGAGAAAAAAAAATTACGACATGTACAAGTGTTATGGACCAACTAGCGTAACGGTTAAAATGAACCAGACACCATGAACACAAATTAAACAAAAATTGATAATCATAAATTAAATAACAGCTATCACACATATTTGAAAGAAATATATTTTTATTTGGAGCAATGCCTTGCTGATGAATCATTCAGATGATAACTCAAAACAGCTTTCACCAATCTTCATGAAACTTTGGTGAATTGTTTAAATTTATCGAAATAAGTTTCCTTTCCATTTCTATTAGATATTTTTGATACCTGGTTTTGGAGTATAGGGACTTTATTCATAATAACGGGTCGAAATTATCGCGTTTTTTGGACAATGTCTCAAAAACGCTTAAACACATTTTCATGAAACTTGCTGAAATGTAACGTAAGCTCCCTTACAATTTTTAATATATTTTAAATTATACTTATTCCAGTTATGGGATTTTATTCATAAGAATTATTCATGAATTGTGCCACTGTGCGCAAGTTTTTTTTTTTTTTAAATTTTTATACCCCCACTTTTAGTCTTTAAAAAAGTGGGGGTGGGTATACTGTTTTACTTTTGTCTGTACATCCTCAAGTCAGTCAGTCTGTCCGTCCCATGAATATTTGTCTTTGCATCTTTCTCAGGAACATTACAAGGATTTCTGAAATTTGGTTTCAGGGTTTATATGTGTCAGCTATACCCGATAATACCGTGTGATGCTTTTTCAGATTCATCACTCAACAACCTTTGTTTACCTTTTACTTTAAGGTATGGGGGTATATTAGTAGCTCACAGATTCACTTGTTTGTTTTAGATTTTTTTTTGGGGGGGTGGGAGGGCTGGCTTTTTTTTAGCACAGCTCTTTATTTAGCATAGGATGCAGCAATTCTAGAAATCCAAGAAAAAATAGGCATTTATATATCTATGGAGGAAATCCTGATATCAAATTAGGGTTGTGTGGCAGACGTAATTTCTTTATTTTAAAAATTATATGAATCATTATACATATGTACATATGTTTATGCTCCTTATTTTAAAAAAAGTATCTATATGTAATTAAATAATTACTTTCTCATATTTTTTTTAGCTCCCCTGTCAATTACAAGATACAGTATGCCATTCCAGCTTTGATGAAATAAAGTAATGGTTTGATTTGGAGAGCTTTATTATTATAGACAGGTAAATTGTTAAATCCTGATATCAGCTAACTATTGTACAATGAGACAACTCTCCCCAAGAGTCCAAATGACACAGACATTAAAAACTATGGGTCTTTGAATGGCCTTCTACAATGAGTAAAGCCCATTCTGCATATTTGGCTATTAAAGGCCCCAAAATCACAAATGTAAAACATTTCAAAGGAGAAAATTAATGGTCTAATTTATGTAAACAAAAATGAATGAAAAAGAAATATGTAACACAGCAGCAAACGACAACCACTGAATTCCAGTAACATACATTGTACATACAGAATGTGGATGGGTTAAACATGTTAGCGAGCCTGGCTTCTCTTTCTGTTTTATAATTTGTGCAAATAAATTTCTGTTCTTACATCATGTACATTGTAAGAATATTGTATGATGTAAACTCAGAAATTATTGCAATGTTTTTATGAGGCAAATTTGAATATCGCAATAAAAGGAACTCACATTCTGAAATCTATACATATAACTACAAGTATTCAGATTTTTCTGAAATTGCAATTATAAATCTCACATTTTTGTCCATTCTTCAAAAATTGCAAAAATAAATGTACCCAATAATCATGATAATTTCTTAATTTAATCAATGTTAATGAAGTATCTGTACCAGCAATAAAATTTATTTACACAGACATGACAGATATTAATACAATAATATACTGAACTTGCTAGCAAAATTTGTTTAGCTGTGGATTACTGATATTGATATTGAAGTATTCCTGTCGGAAAAGGAGATACAAAACAAAGTAAATTAAGATAAATACATCAATTTAAATATTTATTACATAATACATCTTATAGGCACATCTGGGTTTTTGTCTCGCCTTGACGGAGTCAAAAAGCGAGACATAGGTATGCTGTTTCTGGCGACGGCGGTGTCAACAATGTATTAGTTTGTGATTTAAGGTCTAGTTCATGGTGAACCACAAGTGGTAGGTCAATGATATTTGTTATGCAGTTGTATAAGCATTGGCATATCTCATTTCCATGGAGAATATTTGGCTCCGCCCCCGTTGTCATGGTCTAGACTTTGAAAATTTTGCTAAGTTAACATGTATTAGTTTGTGATTAGGTCAGTTCAAGGGGAACCATTAGTGATAGGCCAATGTTAATTGGTGTTCAGTTGTATAAGCATTAGCACATCTCATTTCCATGGAGAATTATTGGATCCGCCCCCTCAGTCATGGTCTATTCACTTTGAAACTTTTGCTTAGTTTACATGTATTAGTTTGTTATTAGATCAGTTTAAGATGAACTGCTAATGTTAAGTCAATTATATTTGGTATGCAAATTTATTGGCATTTGCAAGTATTGTTTCCATGGAGATTATATAGCCCCACCCCTGATCATGGTTCATTGACTTTGAAACTTTAACATAGTTTACAAGTTAATGTTTGTGTTTAAGTTTGTTTAAAGGGAACAACTTATAATAAGTTAATGGTATTTGGTATGCAGTTGTATTAGCATTGGCACATCTCATTCCATGGAGATTTTTTAGCCATGTACCTTCAGTCATGGTTCATTGACTTTGAATATTTGCATAACTTACATGTTAAGTATTGCTATTTTAATTTCAACATTTGCATTATCATGATTATCAAAATTACAAAAAGACGAGACATATCTCTGTGATAACAGTTTATTTTTCATTTAACTTTAAAGTTTTATAAAAGTACATGTAGTGCACCTTATTAAAATGTGTATGGAAAATTAAATCCTTGTTCAAATGATGAATGAAGACATTATTAAATAAGGACAGGGAAATTATTTTGTTAGCATTTTAACAGTAACTTCTTGAAGAAATATGTTTGCACTAACTTTTGATTACTTTTCACATGCTGAAAATTTCATTTAATATATATTATATTTGCATTTTCATATTTCAGGGATGATGACCTGCAGTAGAAAGTTCCTTATAACTCATCATGGCCATTATGGAAGATCTGATTAAAATTTGTTTAGAAAGCCACCAAATATGTCCATGAAAAGTAGAAAAAAGACAGCAATTCTATATAATTTACATATATGTACTAAGCAGAAGCATTGACTGTTTCAAGACCAAATGAATTGGAATTTAGTGTTTTGATGCTGAGAGACAGAGGAAAATTATCTAGACAATTTAGCTTCTTTTTCATCATCAATTGTATCACTGAAGTTGATGTTTACAATCTTAAAGAGCTTTTACCTCAGTTAAAATGAATTCTAAATACGGACAGTTTGGAGATTTGTGAATTTTCTTACAATTGGAGTTTCAAAAAAGGATTTCATTTAACAAAATTATATTTCATGGATGTAATTTGTAGTTTCTTTCATGAAATATTTGAAAAATCTGCAATACATTTGTATCTGACCAAGTGAGAGATCTACAAATAGACATATGATATTCAGTTGAACTGTAAAGAAGGAGATATTCATTTATAAGACTTATATGAGTGTTTTGTTATTTTTATGGCAATTACGGGGAAAAGATAGTAATTGATTTTAACATTAATCCTACCTAGATATACATGAGATTTACTATCATATACATGTAGGCATACAATTCACTGATGCACCACTAATGGAGTTGCATGTAATTATAAAACTAAGAATATGACATATGATTGCCAATAAATTAACAACTCTTCATCAGAGAACAAATAGTCATATTATATATTGTCCACCAGCATGACCAGAGAACAAGAAGATCATATTATATCATGATTTACATTTCAATTTCATTTCATTTCATAACAGTTAACACAGAATAAAGGTATACAAAAGGTTCATAAGTATAAAAAAGTGTTTTAATTGCAGTTGTTGTTCATCTTAAAGTGACTTAGTCATATTGATGTTGGCCTTCAATACTGAGCAAGACCTCTGTAACAGCCACAGAATGTTTGAACAAAAATATTATCTATACTTATATATTTGTCTATACTTAGAAATCAGAATTTTTTTTCATTTCTTGTCTAAATTAAAATTGGTTATACAATTGTATACGTTTGGCAAAAAAAAATATAAATTTATTTAAATGATGGTATTATTTGTATCCAGGATTTTCTGAAACTGCAATAATTAATCTCGCATTTTTAATTGTCCTTACATTGTTCAATAATTAAAATTATCTTGGGAATAAATTTACTCAAAAAATTCTGAGTCTTTTTGAAGGATATATAGACTTGGAAACTTGTACCTGTGATGGAATATTTTCACAGTTACTGTTTTAGAGATTCTTATATCTAGCATGTTTAGCAAAAGATGTTAGGTATACATGTATGGCAATGAGACAGCATCCCCAAAACAGACAGAAATTGCTTTGTTCTCAGTTTGAAATTGCACACATATTTTTGTATTACAGCAAGAATTTGATATAAAAAAGGATGATCTGGTATAATTGCCAATGAAGTTTTGATTTACAATTAAGTAATTTTTTTACTCTTGTGATTGGTTCAGGTAAACATGGTAAATATTAACCACTGATTGTACCCTTGTCAATGATATTTGTAGGCAGTAGTTTTATAAGCATTTACACATCATTTTAATTTCCATGCGGACTAGTTTGTCCTGTCTGCTATGTCATGATTAATTCACCTGACACTTCCTGAAACTTTTGGATTGTGTATATATGTATTAATTGTGATTGAGTTAGTCATTTCTGTGTATTTATATTATATATGGTACATAGAATTTCTTTTATTCTGACAGAAAAGAAATACCATTCAGTTGCCTCCAATCTCAGCAGGTGATGGGGAAATAAGTTTTCTGATTTTGACATGTTTGAGATGAACCTTAAAATATTATGGCACTTGATAATGAAAAAACAATTGATTAATTGTGGTGAATGTCATGTAAGCACTTTTGGCTATTTCTTGGCTGTCCATTTGTATTCGTGAACACTGGTAGGCAGGGAGTTAATATGAAATGAGCAGCAGAAAAAAATAGGTCACTATTTCCAACTTCATGGTATAAATGTAAACTATAAGGTTGAGAAATTGAGATGATATATATGACAAGGTTGTTGATTGAATCATAGGTACATGTACATGTATCAGAAACTAATTGGATGTGGGTTTTTTTCACAGATGCGATTAAAATTAATCGTGTATATATATGCATCCGATATTTGTCGAACTGGTTATCGCTTTATGATATAGTGTAAGCATAAGTAATGAGAGCTCAAGGTACATGTTTTTGAAGTATGGGGTACTCAATGACGTAGCTCGTAGCTTTTTTATAAAAAAAAGCAAGCCATACAAAATACTGGCCTGGTAACTGGTGAAAATTCATATTCATTCATAGGCAAAAAAATTACCCTACCCCACCAGAATAAAATTCAAAAAGACCTCCCAATCATGATTTACAAATTGATACCAGTCACACTTGAGATTCAGGAGATATTCAACTAGTAAAATGTGAATATTTATATGCAGGTAGGAGTTAATATTTATGATTTAAACACTGTCAATGACAAAGATCAAACAAAAAAATCATGAATTTTGGTATAAAGTTCTGTATGAAAATGCAACTTTTTTCATTAAAATTTTAATGGTTCCCAATATACAAGCTCTAGAAGAGACTTTATAGTATACTATTAATTATATAATGAACTTGCATTTGCAAAAATGAGAACTGCACTATGACCCCAGATGCGGATTCCGGATTTTGACAAAAAAGGGGGGGCTGCGTGTCCCAACACTAATCGAAGTTATGGACATATAAGTGTATACATTAACCATAAATTGGTTGGTACACAAGGGATCAAAGCCCACATGAATCCGCCTCTGCCATTTCAGCCGTTTGCGGTGATATACACAAGAGAGTGAATATGCAAGAAGATGTAAATATTCTATTTTATGAAAGTCCAGCCTGTCACAATGAAAATTCCCTTAAAAAAAACCCAATACTGAATAAGAAGCTTCAATAAATTAAATATACGAAACGTCTGTTCGGTTTGAACATCAATCCACAATTAACTATAGACTTCAATAGAAATAAACCGCCAAAAGATATATAACCAATGAAATAGTAGAAAGTGTGCGGTCAAATCAAGCGTAAAACACTGACCATCAAAATAGTAGAAGTGAGTAACAATCAAGACGAAACTAGTCAATCGTCAAAGTCTGTGAATATAAAATACGAAAAGTACAACTCATACTAAATTACAATCCGTAATTAATCTATTTGAAAACGAAAACACAAATATGAATTAGGAATAAAATCATCTTTATTTTAAAGTAAATTCAAATAAGAACAATCATGAATAAATACACGCTAGCACACAAGAGCTATACCAACCCACTTGATTCTGGTATTGGTAGAAAGGCCACATTTCAAATTTTTCAAAAAGTGCTGTGCCTAGTTATATAGCGTTCGTATAAAAGAAATTTCACAACCCGAAGTGCCAAAAAGTCGATAAATCGAAAAAATTCTCCACGTTTTATTGTTTTTTATTTACAACACCTCTATTAAAAACTAGGCACAGCACTTTTCCAGTAAAATAAGTTATCCTGATTACAGAGAGCCAAAAACCAGGGCGATCGGATTTCATCTTGCACCTGCCCTTTTGACTTTTTTAGGAAATGTCCTTACTTTCAGTTTGAAGTCACGTGACACTAGTGTATTTATATTTTTCTATAAATAAAAGTTTGGAATGTGATTCAGAATAGACCCTTTTCCCTCTGTTTACGCTTTTGACGTGCATTTTAACCTTTAAGCAAAGAAAACTAACTTTGAGTTCAATATGATTTTTTTTTTGTATAAAAATGGGATATTTCTTGAAACGCCCTTAACGTCCCTGCGAGCGCTGGTAAAAGGCTACAAAAGAGCTATTGTGTTTACAACCTTTGCAAACGTTCCAGCTACCTTATTTGATCCAAAAACAAAGGATCTAGGGCAAATTGCAACAACAACAATTCGGTCATCTAATAAGATCAACTAATCTATTGACAAGTAATATATCTAAATTTAATTGTTAAACACTATTGCAGCATGATATGATGTATCTCAAGTTGATGTGTGAATTGCTATAGTCCTCCGAAAGATTCCCGGTTTAAAGAAATTGACCGAGTTAATCCAACTGAAAGATTCGATCACCGCAAGGAGCGTATGCAGTTGTGAATGATGCACCAAGCACGCAACCCGACTAGTTGGAACTTGTACGTTAAATCAGATATCCGTGTTGAGAGAGTTCTACGTTATCTGCACTTTAAAGAAGCCTTTGTTCAACAAATTACTATTTGAATTGTGAGTAGGTAACAAGGCAAACGATCAACCCCTACTCGATATTCCCTCTTTTTGTAGCCAACTTTGTAGTACCTACTCAGTCATTTGATGCATTTTAAGCTCACCTGGCCTAAAAGGCCAAGTGAGCTTTTCTCATCACTTGGCGTCCGTCGTCCGTCGTCCGTCGTCGTCGTCGTCCGTCGTCGTTAACTTTTACAAAAATCTTCTCTGAAACTACTGGATCAAATTTAACCAAACTTGGCCACAATCATCATTGGGGTATCTAGTTTTAAAAATGTGTCCGATGACCAGGCCCGCCAACCAAGATGGCCGCCATGGCTAAAAATAGAACATACGGGTAAAATGTAGATTTTGGCTTATATCTCTGAAACCAAAGCATTTAGAGCAAATCTGACATTGGATAAAATTGTTCATCAGGTCAAGATCTATCTGCCCTGAAATTTTCAGACAAATCAGACAACCCATTGTTGGGTTGCTGCCCATGAATTGGTAATTTTAGGAAAATTTTGCAAGTTTTGGTTATTATCTTCAATATTGTTATAGATAGAGATAAACTATAAACAGCAATAATTTTCAGCAAAGTAAGATCTACAAATAAATCCACATGACCAAAATGGTCAATTGACCCCTTAAGGAGCCCTTTATAGTCATTTTTTAACAATTTTTTGTAAATTTTTGTAATCTTTTACAAAAATCTTCTCCTCTGAAACTACTGAGACAAATTTAACCAAACTTGGCCACAATCATCATTAGGGTATTTAGTTTAAATAATATGTCCGATGACCCCGCCTGCCATCCAACATGACCGACATGGCTAAAAATAGAGCATAGGGGTAAAATGCAAGTTTTGTCTATTATTTTTTGAACCGTTATAAATAGAGAAAATCTGAGAGGAGCAAAAATGTTCAGACTAATGAGCTCTACCAATTGTCCATATACGTCAAAACTGTTAGACAAATTCTTATAGGAGTTGTTGCCCATAAATGACAAATTTTACTATTTTTTTTCATTTTTGCCTTTTATCATAAAAACTATGATATTTAGAGAGAAACATTTTTTTTTCGTTATGCCTTATATGAATCAAATTATAAAAGATAAATAAACACTTTAAATCACAAAAATGATCAGCAAGGCAAGATCTATTAAAAAGTCTTAGAACAAATTATCAATACACAAAACAACATATATAAAACATATGAAAA